AGGAGTGATACTTCCCCCTGAAGAGTCCCATATTCATAATAGAAAGTGTTGGGAAGCCCCAGGGGCTCAAGAATTGCCACCTCCCATTCCAAAGGTCATTTTCCAGGATCCAGGGCACAACCTTCTCACCCTATGAAATAATTGTGTGCAAAGCTCATTGAGTCCTTTTAAGACCCAGGGACTGTTGCTTACAACAGCAAAATACCTGAAAACCACCAATGCTGTAATCTTTTTTTTTTTTTTTTTGTGAGAGGTTTTTACTACAGGGCACATGTGCTTGCCAGAGAGACAGAGAGATAAAAAAGTGAGAAACCACCCCCCAGGAGGGATAGCCACACTGCAATCTCTTCTCCTCCATTCTCCTCTCGGGATCTTGGGCACGCACGCACACACGCCCGGCATGAGTTTAAGCCACCGGGTCCAGTATTCGAACCATTTTTGACTACATGGGAGTCCAGCGACATAGCCATTACAGTAACTGCTGGTCCCACCAATGCTGTAATCTTGAAGTAGACTAACACATAACTGTCTTAATATAAATTACTTATTATTAAAAATTTATCACTTTCTTTTTCTTTTTTTTTTCTATCTCACCAGAGATGGGGTTGGGGAGGAGGGGAGAGAGAGAGAAAGTGGGAAAGCACCCTCATTAGGGTGTGTGGGGGGTTTAATGACATAATACCTTCTTCTCTATTTCTCCTTCTGGGATTTTGGTCATGCACACATACACGCCCTGCATATTTCTCAATTACCGGGTCTGGGACTCAAACCGAGCAATTGTCCATGGTGAATCCAGCCACCTAAACCACCATGCTACTGGTTGGCTCTAAAAATATATCTTAAGCTCTCCTTGGGTTCTGATGAGTATAGATCTTTAGTCCAAAATGGACAAGTTCATTCAAAACTGGGGAAGAGTAATTTCTTCTACTTTTTTTCCTTTCTTTCTTTCTTTTGAGAGAGGTTTTTGCTGTAGGGCATGTGCGCTCACCAGAAAGACAGAGAGATAGAAAGTGAGAAATAACTCCCCAGGGGGGGATGGCCATTCCACAGTCCCTTCTCCTCCATTCTCCTCTCAATCTCAGAATATCCATGGACGTTTAGAATACAAACTCTCTGTTAGTGATAAAGACTGATCTAGCTACCTACTAACTCACCTTCATACTAGACAAGATTTTGTTTTATATCGCTTTGTATCTACTCAACTACAAACTGTTTTTTTCATATCATTAAAAGAGGAATCCTTCTTGGGATCTTGGGCACGCATGCACATGCTCCTGGTGTGAGTTTAAGCCACTATGTCTGGGACTCGAACTGCAGTCGACTAGATGGGAGTACAGTGACAGCCATTATGCCAACTGTTGGCCCCTCTACTTTTTAAAAAATTAATATCAATAGAGCCATTTTAATTTTCTAAGTCTTAATGTGTAAAAATAAATAGAACATAAAATTTACATCCTAACCATTTTTAAGTACACAGTTCAGAAGCATTAAGTACAGTCACCTTGTTGTGCAGCCATCATTACCATCCAGCTCCAGAATTTTTCACCTCGCAAAACTGAAACTGTATACCCATTAAACAATAACTCCCCATTTTCTTTTATTTTTGAGCTTTAAAAATCCTATTGGTAGACTATAGTACATGATAATTCACTTTCCAACTCAAAAAGTACTGGAAAGATTATTGATGAAGTCTTAAAAAGCACCAACACACTCTTCCGCCCCCACAAGAGTGTGCAGGAAGATTCTGGTGACGGATAGAAGAAACAGAACAAAGAGAAGCAGAAACAAAGGTAAATGAATTTTTCATAAAGAAGAGTTCCGGGAAGAGAAGGATCTCGAAGGCTGCATTTAGACTACAAAGTCACCTTGGGTTTGGGCAGCTGAGTTGATAGGGTCATCTCTGGCTTTGGCCTCATTAACTTCCACAAAAGAATCTCACTGGCACTGGGGCAATAAGCAAGCCTTATGGGGGCCTCTCTGTTGCCCTTGCTCCTTAGAAGTAACCACCAGGCGGCACAGATGAACAGCCAGCTTCCCTCTGGGTGGGTAGATAGCTAAGAAGGTTCTAGAAGTAAGATGACGCAAACACTTGGTGGGTGGAAAATAGAACCACGCTGTGTCCGTACTTCAAACCCACCCAGATTTCACAATGTAACTCTGCCTCTGCCAGTGTTTAAACAGCCCCCATGACCTGTCTTCTAACACACACACTAAGAATAACTTCATAGGGAAATATTTATTTCATGAGACTCGTGCAGGCTGCCCTTTGCCCTTTACCAACAACAGACAAATTCCTGCATGCAGAGAGCAAGCATGACCCTCCTCTCTAAAGCAATCAGACTGAGGCTATGTTGAGCAGAATGGGAGATCAAGACTCCTGCCCTTGCATGAAGAGGGCCAGAGCCCATGAATCCTTCACTGTAGCCGCCTGCCGACGTCTGTGCCTACAGACACAGGATGTGCCCAGCAGGCCCAGGGGGACAGCAGCCTAGACCTGTGGCTGTAATTCTAGCACTAACCAGCCACAAAAGGAGGCACAAATCCAAAGTCAGGCAGGCTGCAACACGCTCTCTGCCTCAGCCTTAAAAACACACACATCCTTTGCACCAGCGATCCTAAATACCATAATCTAGATTCAGGAAGTAATCACAAACATGCATGTGAGACAATGACAGAACAACAGGGATGTTCTCCGTGGAGTTCTTTGTAGCATCAAAACATTTAAAACAACAACAAAAAAAGAGACTACCAAACTTCTGACTATACAATGCAGACTAAGACATAGGATTTTGACCATGATCTAGGACAGAAGGCATCCATAAGACAAATGGTCTCTAATAGTTTTAATGATATGAAAAAACAGTTTGTAATTGAGTAGGTACAAACAGATATAAAATAAAAACCTGTCTAGTATGAGGGTGAGTCAGTGGGTAGCTAGATCAGTCCTTGTCACTAACAGAGGGTTTGTATTCTAAACATCCATGGATATTCTGAGATTGAGAGAAAAACAGTAAAATGACATGATGAATGCCTTGAACACACATCCATGTCAGTTCATGGTGGGACGGGGGAACTACAGAAACAGCATCAGAGCTGGTGGTGCCTGCCCCCAGGTGGTGCTGGGAGAGACTAGGCATCCCAAGGTAGCCAGGCCCATACCTAGCCCTGGGCAAGGGCAGTAAGGCCTCACTAGAGGAGAAGTATGGAAAAACATGTGTTCCTCACGTATAGATAGAAATATTAAAGTTCCTGCAGGCCTTAGAGAGGTACCATAGGATGTTCTTGGGTTTACATGCCTTTTCTGGAGATGTCTGGTTAGGATGATGCATATGGATACCGGTTGGTACAGGTTCAAAACCCCTGAAGGGGCATACAGAATCAGCCACAAGCCAGATGAGGTTGGCCTGTCTAGAGTGCACAGCACCAAGGACCAGATGGTATGTGTGAATCAAGCCGCCTTTCTTCAAGCAACCCTGAGTCACCCCCAGATAACATCATGTGTGAATAGGGCAAGGGAGAATTCAAAGGCCACACAAGTGAAGCTAGTAAACAGAAAAAGCCTATGTAAATCGTCATACTTAAATAAACTTTTATCATCCCCTGCACCACTGCCACTACCCATCATAATAGGATCTGTCAAAGACTAATAAATGTGTTTCACAAATTTATATATATATATATAATGTGTGTGTGTGTGTGTGTGTGTATACATACACACTCCCAGCACCACTTGGGGGAAGCTCTGAGTAGTTACCCCAGCCCCACCATGAACTGACATTGATGTGTGTTCAAGACATATGTCATGTCATTTTACTGTTTTTCTGTGTATGTATGTGTATATATGTGTGTGTGTGTGTGTATATAAAAATATACATATATATATATATGTATATTTTTATATACACACACACACACACACACATTAAACACACACACACACACACACACACACACATATATATATAGTCTTTGGAAAGTCAAGACACATTATTGCATAGAAAAATATATCATGACTTTTGATAACCCAATATAATACATATTTTTATTTATATGTGAGAGATAAATATATATTATGAATATATAGGTGAATATTCAGCCTTAAAACATGCATCATCTTAAACTCACAGTAAACAAAACCACACATGGCAAGAGACATCAATACCCCAAATGTTAATAATGCTTCTGAGCAGGATTATGAGAAATTTTTGTTTTATTTTCGACATACCTATGTCTGTAAATATTGTACACAGCATGTATATGTATTTTTTTCAGATGAGAAAATGACTGGTTTTTCACTCGCCTTGGCTAAGCATCTGGTTTTCATCAGCAATCAGTACTCCTACCCTCCAGGATGTACAGGAGGGTAAACTCACCTGGCAAGGGGCAGCCAAGGATCTCCATCCTCATACAGATGCTCCCGTTATCAAACCAGGACTGTGGGTTTATGCGAATGTAGCGGGCCACCATGGGGACGGGCAACTCATTGAGAACAGGGATCTCCTTTTCACTGTTTCCTTCAAATATCTATTTATGCTCAAGCACACACACATTAAACACACACACACACACACACACACACACATATATATATAGTCTTTGGAAAGTCAAGACACATTATTGCATAGAAAAATATATCATGACTTTTGATAACCCAATATAATACATATTTTTATTTATATGTGAGAGATAAATATATATTATGAATATATAGGTGAATATTCAGCCTTAAAACATGCATCATCTTAAACTCACAGTAAACAAAACCACACATGGCAAGAGACATCAATACCCCAAATGTTAATAATGCTTCTGAGCAGGATTATGAGAAATTTTTGTTTTATTTTCGACATACCTATGTCTGTAAATATTGTACACAGCATGTATATGTATTTTTTTCAGATGAGAAAATGACTGGTTTTTCACTCGCCTTGGCTAAGCATCTGGTTTTCATCAGCAATCAGTACTCCTACCCTCCAGGATGTACAGGAGGGTAAACTCACCTGGCAAGGGGCAGCCAAGGATCTCCATCCTCATACAGATGCTCCCGTTATCAAACCAGGACTGTGGGTTTATGCGAATGTAGCGGGCCACCATGGGGACGGGCAACTCATTGAGAACAGGGATCTCCTTTTCACTGTTTCCTTCAAATATCTATTTATGCTCAAGAGGGAAAAAGAGAATCTTTTAGAACTTGATTATCATCAAATAAGAGAGTCAGTAATTCACTCACTCAACTAGACCTTATTGAGGGACACCTACAGTATACTAAGCACTGAAGGGAAAAGAGAAATGAATCAGGCCTGGACCTCAGAAGCACTCTTTAGTCAGGTTGGGGAAGTAATCTTTATATATCATAGGAAAGATCTATCAGTGTCATGGCAAAGGGATGGCCATCATGCTTTGGGAATTTCAGAAGAAGGAAAGGACCAGGCAAGCTTTGGAGAGGAGATCCTGTTGGAATTGTCATTGAAGGAAAACTCTTTAGACCTGTAGGGGTGGGAGAGGTTCGAGGGTATAAAAAAAACAATAACTGGGAAAGTCCATAGATGGGATTCATAGGCAGAAAGTAGCTGACTCATTTTCACTGGAACACAGGAGTGTGCGTGTGGGATAAGAATGAGAAAGATGGTCCAAAAAAGAAGACTGCAGTCAGATTGTGTAAGACGTTAGATACCACGGTGAGAAATATGAGGAAGAGAGTTACAGGAAAAGAACTGACTAAGCTGGAGGTCATCATGGGGTTGAAAGATCTAAGGTCATTTTTAAAAGTTAGAAAACTATTCTAATTTCATAGAGATGAAGGGCTTGAGTATGCTCCACGCACCAATCTTCCAAGGCTTACTTGCCAATTATATAAGAGGCTGACTCCCAGTAGCTCTTTGATTGGAATAAAGGCTAAATTTTACATTAGATCTAAATGTGGGTCACTTGGCACTAAGTTTCAGGGTATTAAACGGGGACCAGAGTCCATATAATTTTCGTGGCTGGCTTGAGTTGATACAGTATCACAAACCTCCAAAAGATTAGGCATACAATGCATTTCTTTGTATATCCCACAAAGCATAGTTAGAGGGAAGAAGAGACTCACCATATCTCCAGATCCATTCTTAACAGTCACCCAGGTGTGGCTGTCATTGCTCACCATGACCTTATAGGATGTCACCCAGTCACTCCTATGAGAAATAAAACACCAGTAGGACTAGATAGTTGAAAATGTCTACCTCTTCGTACAGAGGTGCAGAGGTAAGGAAAGCAGGTGCCGGAGGCTGATAGCACTGAGTCCAACCCTGGCTCTATGACACTTATTGGCCTTGGGACCCAGCCAGGTAACTGATCCATCTATGCCATGTTTATTCATCCATTCAGTAGAAACCATAAAAATACATACAATAAAGGAATAACTTCAGCAGTAGATGGTCTAATAGCCTTTAAACACTTAGTACAAGACCTAGGCCCTAGTAAGCACTAAACATTGGTCACACAAATAAAGATATACAAATACATATTTGTACTGAACAATTACATCACACATAGTAGAAGCCAAATAGAGTCCTGTATAGAAAAATAGTAGCAGTAAAGGCTACAAATTGATCTAGAAATTTCATCTGAGAAACTAACTTAAGAATACAGCAATCTAGATCGAACCTGTCACAATATTAACAGCCTAAGTTTCAAAGAGACGCTAGGATTCTCTGGCTGCCACAGCCACATGGACAATCTCCAACCCAGCAAGAATCCAGTGCAGGCTGGACCAGAAGCTAGACCACTGTCATCACATCTTACTGCACACAAATGACTAAACTGCTGTAATTTGACTTCCCAGAGTGGAAGTCAATCCGACAGGTTTAGCAATAAAAACAACTTTATTTGGAAAACACATTTTTTTCCTCTTTGCCTTGGTTTCATAACAATCATTTTTAAGCAACAAAGAAAAGTCTTCCTGAATATACTCATCCTCACTTTTTATTTTTAAGATACTACAAATGAGTACTAATTTACTAGTCTTTTCAAAAATTCTGGCCATTAGATTTCCTACTGTGAAATTTCCTTTGCCTCAGGATGCAGACCTATTGCAGAAGGACTTGGGTTTACAATCTGAATCAATACTATTAGTAAATGTTATTTACAAAAAGCAGTTGGTTTTTCATTCATTCATTCTGGTTTATCTGATTGACTTGTTGCAAAATTTTTTCTTAGGTGCTTTGATACATGCTAGGAAACAAACCTTTATCTCATACCTTCTCTTCTCCTTTCTCCTCTCCATCAGCTTTGTTTCAGTACTTGCTAGAAATCAGATTGTAATGACACGTCCTTCCTCTGAGTTCCTGGCTTGAGCCCACAACCACAGATTTAGATACATTAAATGTGCCTTTTGAAAGCACCACAGTCACAGCTCATGTCCTTTGCACTGGAAAATCATCCTTCCCCAAAATAGCAACCTGTTTCCCACATTCAAATAATTTCCAAATGACTTATAACTGCAGTTCTCTTTGTGGTCTGTTTTTCAGCTGATAACACTCCAAGGTGCTCCAGCAACGCAGACTACAGAGGTGGGGGCTATATCCTACCAAGGAGGAGGTGATGAATTTAGAACTCAGCCGAAGAAGCCCACAAACAATATGAGGCAGTGAGAAAAAAAAATTAAAATAAGTTCTCCAATGAAAAGAAGAAAGGGAAGAAAGGACATGAAAGCCAAGTAACTTCTCAGACATACACACAATCAAAGATGAACAAATTCACAATTCACATTTGAATAGTAATTAACTCTATGGCTCAGACCTCTCTTCTGAGCTGCAGACAACAGTCTTTTGCCTATTTTATCTTTCCACTTAACGGCTCAGCAACTTCGCAAATTTAAGCTGCTCCAGACCAACTGATTCATTTCCTCCAAGATGTACCCCAACATGACAGTCTAAGGGCCTCTGCCAGAAAAGCTACACCAGCCACCGAGGAGGCCAAAATCCAGAGTCATCCTTGCTACCACAGTTTTCCTCCCCCTATATTCAATTAATTCCAAGTTGTCAATCTTTTTATTTTATTTTTTTTTTTTTGGAGAGGTTTTCGCTATAGGGCGTGTGCGCTCGCCAGACAGACAGAGAGAGACATAGAGACAGAAAGCGAGAAATCACCCCCCAGAGGGGATGGTCACACCGCAATCCCTTCTCCTCCATTCTCCTCTTGGGATCTTGGACACGCACGCACACGCGCCCGGCGTGAGTTTTAAGCCACGGGGGGAGGGGGGGTGTCCGGGACGCGAACCGCGGTCGACTACGTGGGAGTCCAGCGACATAGCCATTATGCTAACTGCTGGTTCCCCAAGTTGTCAATCTTGTCTCCCATATTTTTCTAGACCATATCTAAATCTCCTTATCTCTACTGCCACCACCTCCGCCCCATCTCTCAGGCCAGGACTATTGCAGTTGTCTCCAAATGGTCTCCTGCCATCTAAACTGCTCCCCAGTCTACCTTGAAGCCAAAGGTTACTTTTCTGTGAAATATTGTCATGTTACCCCCTGCTTAAAGTATCTTTGAAGTATTAAGTATAGTCATGCACTGCATAATGATGTTTCCATCACCATCCACTTATATAGTGGTTCCCTAAGATTATAAAGGAGAGGATGTTTATTCATTTTATTTTATTTATCTTTTAAAAGAACTAACTTTTGACTTGGTTTATTATGTATTTCCTATTATTTTGAACCATATGAAACCACCATTTTTTCATAGATCAAAATGGTTGAATGTCAGAATTTCCTAAGGTTCAAACTAATATTTAGGCTCAAACTAATATTTAATTTTACTATTTTTATTTTTTCCATATTGGTAGTCTTTTGCTTTGATTTATTATTCTTTCTGTATAGTTATTTTAGATCATTGTGGTTCCGTTTTTCTTCTTCCCTAATATAATCTCAGAGGTTATAAAGTTCCCTCTGAACATTGCCTTAGTTGTGTGTCATAAATTTTAGTAAGTCATAACTTCATTCTCATTCAATTCAAAAGATTAATTCCTGTTACGACTTGTCCTTTGATCATGCCTATTTAGAAGTGCACAGTTTAATGTTTGGGAACTGGTGATTTTCTGGTTACTTTTTAATTATCGATTTCTAATTTAATTTCATGTACAAAGAAAACAGACTTTGAATCACGTCAACGCTTAAGCATTTGCTGAGCCTTCATTTATTACTCAGTATATGGTCAATTTTGGTAAATGTTCTATTTATACTTGAAGACAATGCCAGTTCGATCATTGTCGCATGCACATAATTTTGACTACTCAAATTTGATCACTACTAATATTTACATTGGAATAAGGAGCATCAATAAGTGATCATGGTTTGATTATTCTATTTTCTCTGTAAGAACACTGATAATACACTTGCACTATTTTTTCCTAATTACCCTAAAGATTACAATATACATTCTTAAGTTACTACAGTCTTATTCAAATGATCATTTCTACCACTTCCATGATTATGCTAGCACTATAAAATACTTTAAGTTCACTTGTCCCTCCATCATTTTGAAACTCCATTTTAATTATATGCCTATTTTAAATGTTATATTATTGTATTATACATCTACTTATTTATAAAGAGCTCTTCATTTATTGTTGCATTTCCATTTTCATCAGAAGTCATTTACTTTCTGCTAGGAGAACTCCCTTTGATATTCCTTTAAGCCAGACACACTGGCAATAAATCTTTTCAGTTTTTATTATCTGAATATGGCTTTACTTCATCTTCATTTTTGAGTGATATTTTTGCTGGGAAAATAGTTGACATTTTTTTCCTTTAAGCACTTTAAAAATTTGATTTTATTGGCCTCTGAGTCTTTAAAAAAAAAAAGTCAGTTTTATTTATAATTTCCAAAATTTGGAAACAACCAAGATGTCTTCCAGTAGATGAATAGATAAATAAACTATGATCTGTCCAGATAATGCAATGTTAATCTGTGCTAAAAATAACTGAGTTATCATGAAAAGTCATGGAGGAAACTTACATGCATAATACTAAGTGAAAAAGGTGAGTTTTTACACATATACATACACACACGCATATGTAATAAAATTATTATTGTGGTATTTAATAAATGTACAATGAGAATATAAGTAGAAAAATTATTGCTATCCATTTAAAGTCAGATCAGGTCTGTTGTTTACTAACTATATAAACTTGACAAGCTACCTAATCTTTTGAAAATAATACCTACAAGGAGATTACATACTAATTTACAAATTGAGAGATATTATAGTACACTAATTAAGATCTCAGGCTTTGAGATCATGAAGCTAAACTGAAATCCTCTTTCACATACTAGTTATAACTTGTGTGAGAGTAATGTAACCTCCCATCAGCAGGTGTTAGATAAGGTAACAACTCTACCTCCTTGTATGGCAAATGAGGACTGAATGAGCTAATGCATGCAAAGTGCCTGGCCCATAGTTACTGCTCCATAAATAGGAGCTATTCATAGGAGAAATACTACCATAATTAACACACTGTCAAATGCTATATCAACAGATGAGATCACTAGTTGAACATAACATAATTCAGATGCTCCTCCAGATCCTTCCAGGGAGTGGATCTGCAAACTTAAACCTTTATGCCCTCGTAATGGGAACAATCTGTCACAACCAAAAAGAAGTTAAGAATTAATTAAATCTTAATTAAAAGTAAGAAAGTTGATCATCCAAGGTGATAGAAGAGATATTTTCTAATCAGTATGGTGCTGAGGTGAGACCGAACTGTCTTAAAGTTCTACCCACATGAAAAGTTTAAAGATTATAGAATATGTTAAGCTCTGCTACTTACTCTGCTGCAGCTACTTACTATTACAAATATCATGCTAACCTCTGAGAATGCAAAGGTAAATTATACATGATCTCTTTACACAGGGATTTTTTCCCAAGCTAATGAGGAAGACAGGGAAGTAGACTAGAAATTTCAAGAGTATCCTGAAGTGTTGTAATGAAGTAGGTGCAGCAGGTTGTGGGAGGAAAAGCTCCTGGCTCAGAAGAATGCAGAAGGCAAGAGGAGGTGAATGAATGAAGATAGTCCTTAGCTAACATAAAAGCTAAATATTTTACTCACTTGTGACAGCTACATCCATTGTTATCAGAGAGCCAGCCCCAAAGACTATAGTTCTGTCCCTGTTTCCTATTCTCCTAATCTTC